GATTTGCTGTGTAACCATGGGTGAATCACCTTATGTCCCTGGACTCCATTTTTCCTGCCTGTAAATGGGCTGGCCAAGACCTCATTCTTAGCTGAGACATGACTGCAGTGATATGTGGTCTTACTTTGACAATGGATCATCTGAGGCAGGTTATCTCCACCTAGATGCCGTTCACACTTGGCCTGGATAATTCTTTGTAGTGAAGCCTGTCCTGGGCCTTGCAGCATCAGTAGCCCCTACCCACTAGGTGCCAGTAGCACCCTCTGCAAGTTGTGGTGACCAATAATGTCTCCAGAAATAGTCCTGGTGGATATCCCCAGGGGAGCAGAATTGCCTCTGACTGAAAACCACTGGTCTTTGGTTTTAAACGATTGTGACTCCATCGTAATCCTCCTCAAGAATTCAGGTGAATTGGACTGATGGCCTTATGGACAGATCTACCCTCATTCTCTCTTTCCTCTCCCTCTGTCCTTTCTCTCTCTCTTTCTTTCTTGACATGTTCTCACTCTGTCACCCTGAGTAGAGTACTGTGGCCTCAGCCTACCTCACAACCACCTCAACTTCTGGGCTCAAGCGATCCTTCTGCCTCAGCCTTCCACATGCTGGGACTACAGGTGCCCTTTGGAAGCTTGAGGTGGTTCACAGTTTCTTTTGATAAAGCCCCACCTCTGCAAAGCTGGGTTTTCCGTGGTTGTTGTGATGAAAAGCAAGAATTGTGACAAAATCAAAACACACTAGGGTGGTGGAGGCCAATCTGATCCCAAAGTCTGAGAATTTCTGCCTGGCTCAACAGGTACCTACATCCCTGTAGCAGTAATACAGTTAAGTAGGAACAACTTTATTTCTTTTTTTCCAAAAGAAAACTATGCATTACTTGTCCAAATGGCTACTAATTACTCATTACGTTGTTTGGACTTAACTGCTTAATAAATGGTAACTGTTAGGTATTTTGGCCTAGGAAACCTGTGAAAAATTTCTGAGACAGCCAGGGTGCTGTGAGTTGAGAGAGTTTGGGAGCTTCTGTCCTGGCAGTGAGCCTGCCCATAGGAGGTCTTGTTGAATGACTGAGAGAGTTGCTCCCAACAACCCTTCTTGGTAGAGAGTAGCATTCTTTTTCACAGATGAGGGCTCTGAGGCCCACAGAGGGCAAGTTCTTTGCCTAAGATACACTAGCAGAGCTGGGCGTATGTCTGACTGGGAAACTCAGGCTCTTCTCTTTGTCTATGCCTGAACTGTCTATTTTTGAATTGCCCTGGGGTAAATGGACTAGGATCAAAAACCATGGCCTTGCGCAAGTGACTGGGCAAGAGTCTGTAGACAACCAGAGCTTATACAATTTTCTGTCCATTTCATGAGCTTGTTGGTGGAAGCTGCTCAGCCCCAGAGTTCTGCCTAAAAGCTGGAACGTCAAGGTCACCACCTTGACGTCAAGGTCAAGGTAGGAAGATACTTTGGGGTTTAGTCAGGCTCAGTTAGAATCCTTGTCCTCTTTTACTGTGTGACTTCAGGAAAGTTACTCACCCTCTCTGGGCCGCCTTTGCCTACTTTTCAGTGGGTGCACATTACCGTGTGCAGTTTTGTGAAGGGGAAGCAGGTTAACGTTGGAGAGGAGGTTAGCATACCAAAGGCACTCAACAGGTGGGGTCTCTTTCCTTCGTTCAGTTGAGTGAAACATTTCTAAGCTGTTTTATGTCTAACAACCCATCCTTAAAAATCCTTTCATTCCCGAGTCTGCAGCCTCCCTGTCACTCCAGTTCCCTGCTGCCCAACTTTGACCCCACCCTCTTGTCTCCTGGGTTGTCTCCCATTAGCCCAGCTGCGTGTGGCTGGGTTCTTCTTCAGGCTTTTGAGAGGACCTCACATCTCCTGACACGCCACTTGGCTTGTGAACTGATTAGCATGGGTGTCAGAGAAGCTGTCTGGACTCAGGACTGCAGAGCCAACACCAAGTTACAGGGAAAGGGGCCGAGGGGCTGCCGCAGCCCAGTGGGTCTGCAGAGGCTGGGCTTCATTAGTGAAGTGCACTTCCTTCATAAAAAATGGTATCTCTACCTTTCCATATTTTAAAATCAGCTTTTATTTTTGGCTTCGCATCTCTGGGTTGCTACAGCGTGAGTCCCCAAAGCTGCCTCTGATCTCTCTTATGGTCATTAGAAGGAAAGGGGGGGCTCTGCTCATTTTCTGAGACTGCCATTAACAAGGGGCTGGGGGCGTGGGGGAGCTTAGAACAACAGAAAGTTACTATCTTGTAGTTCTGGAGGTTGCAAGTCCAAAAACAAGCTGTTGGCAGGGCCGCCTCCCCTGAAACCCACGGGGGGGGGGAGTGGGCCTCTGCGCCTCTTCCTAGCATCTGGTGGAAGCTGGCAGTCCTCACCGCATTACCCCACGCCCGTGTCTCTATCTGTGTCCCGAGTCCCCTGTTCTTATGAGGACACCAGTCACTGAATCAGTGCCCCTCTTAATCCAGTGTAACCTCATTTTAACTTGATCACCTCTGCAAAGACCCTGTTTCCAATCAGGGTCACAGTTTCTGGTAGTAGGGAGGAAGTTAGGACTTCGACATATCTTTTTGGGAATATAATTTAATGCACAGCAGGAACCAACTAGTGTGGACACAGCCCAAAATTCTAGGGATAGGGGACAGGTGTCATTGTGGTTAAGGGGTTAGAGCCATAAACTAAAATTCCACTGGGATGTCCCCATAGGCGTTTGTACCCTATCAATCGTGGTGGGGGTGTGGTTGGCATAAGGGTTTAAGGGCAGGGGACTTGGAGATCAGAGTCCTAAATTTGAATCCTAGTTCTGTCTACAAAGGAGTGTTGTAATCTCCATTCCATTTCCCTATGGAGATATGGCACAGATAACGTGTGAACACGCATACACATTCACAAATAAATACATAAAATATGTCTTCCACATTCAGTAAATGATAACTATTATCTGTGAAATGGGGCAGCTGTATTTTATCTATGTTCTCTTCAATTGTACTTTAGCCCCCAGATTTCCTTCAGCTTTGAAATTCCAGAATTCTTTTTGTTGTTGTTGTTTTTGAGACAGAGTCTCACTCTGTTGCTCTGCCTGGAGTGCAGGAGCACCATCACACCTCCTCCTCTGGAGCAACCTCATCTCCTGGGCTCAAACAATTCTCCTGCCTTAGCCTCCCAAGTGGCTGGGACTACAGGCATCCAGCACCATGCCTAACTAATTTGTTATTAGTATTATTTTTTGGTGTGACATGGTCTCACTATGTTGCTCAGGATGGTCTTGAACTCTTAGCCTCAAGTGATCCTCCCGCCTCAACTTCCCCAAATGCTGGGATTACAGGTGTGAGCCACTGCAATCCAAACTCTTAACTATAAAGGTTGATGGAGACACAGGGATGTATGGTCCAAGAACGCTTTTTATTTGAGGGACCAGAGTAATAAGGTCCCCCTTTTTGATAAGCAAAAGTAGAAAGACAGAAATAGAAATCTTCCTCTAATGCAGGAATCAGAAGCTAATTAAGGGAAATGTATGAGGCAAACGATGTGACCTAAAATTGTTCATTTAGTTGGTTCCATGTGGTGAAACCTTTCTGTAGGCTGAGGAAGCTGAACTAATGAACTAGCAAAAGTGGGATCCTGACCTTGGCTGGTTCATGAATAGAGCAGAAAGAAAAGTCTCATGCGAGTTTGAATTTGACTGTGCTCTGTTTTCTCCCAGAAGCAACAGACATCTTTGTTTTGTTTTCCTGCCAGGAATACAAGAGTTAACACACATGACATCCTTAGAATAGGGCCTGGCGTACAGCAAGGACTCAGCAAGCTTGTCTAGTGGAAAAGGAAAGGACGTCCTTGCTTTCCAGTTGTCTTCCCACAGTGGGAGGTTTTGCTCATCTAAAAGGTAGCGTTAAAAAAAAGATGCAGACTTTGCGTCTTTCGTATTTACCTTGATGGATTTAAAGAACGTTCTCCTAAGTATCTCAAGAATGGAAAAGCAAGCATCTCATGTTCTCCAAACTCTCTTAAAACTAGTAGATCAACAACTACAGGCCCATTTGAGAGAAAAATACAGTTAAAATCAAGGAGGGCGGCATGGGGGGTGGAAGGGGGGAGGAGAGAGAGGGGCAGGGAGGGGGCGGGGTCTCAGGAAGTTCCCACCTGAGGGGCGCAATGTAAGGGTATATGACACGCTTCTTATGGGAGGGGCTCAACTACAACTGGGACTCATCCTAACAAACACAAACAATGTGACCTCATTGCATGTACCCTCATAGTAATCTGAAAAAGAAAAGTGTGAAGCCCATTTTAGGGAATTGTGAACAGTTGCAAAACACAGCCACTGTTGGAGCCAAATCTGTAAACTGTACTCAGAGTCACTCGTATCAGGTGTCGGTGAACTTGCAATAAACGTCTTAGAATTGCTTTTTCCTAAAGTGAAATTCTTAGTTCTCTGACACTGCCAAAGACCTCAGTGTGGCTTCTGGCCTTCGTGCTGGCTGTGTCCGTAATGGACCTGTTCACAGCACACTCTAATAACAGTAGCACGGCTGACAGTTTTTAAACCCCGAATATGGTTTACAGCTCTGTTCTTCCCATATAACCTCATGGTTTCTTTGAGTAGTTGCTGTGAAGCCTGGTTGTACATTTGAACCCCTCGGGAGCTTTGAAAAAGGCCTCTGCTGTTAACTACCTGGGTGCCCTGGGACCATGGTTTCACCTCTCTGAACTTCAGTATCCTCTTCTTAAAACCAAGGCAGTGATACCGTGCCCCCGGGGCTACTGGAGAAGAGAAAAGGGAAATTGGTGGAGGACTTAGCTCCATCCACGGTGCAGGATAAAATTACTGTAAGTATTGTAGTGTAAGCGTTAGCTACTGCTGTGTGGTAGTAGAAATAATAAAAGCCCTTCCCTGCCCCAGAGTAGGATGCCTCCTCCTCGAGGCTCAGCCCTGAGGTGAGAGTGTGAGTTAGTGAATCTGAGTCTACAGACAGGAGGCCCAAGGCAAGAAACAGGACTCACAAACACAGTGGGGCAGGCGCGACGTCCAGATGGGAGTCCCCGTTTCGCGGCTGTAGCAGGTTAGAAGAGAACTCCCTTCAAGCACAAAACCAGGGTTGCAGGTGTACTGGATGGTGGTCCCCACCAGCAGCACAGGATCGGAGATTAGGCGGGTAGAGTGGTCCACCTCTCCAGGGTCGGTGCAGTACATGACTACAGGAAACAAAATCAGACCAACGTGGGTGTCAGAGTCCTCACCGTCAGAGGTTTGCTCAGAATTATAGGATCATCTAGGAAGTTTTCAGACTCAGTTCTGTCCCCTTTTGGAAGAAAATTAAAGGTGGCTGGAGACCAGACCAGGAGGAAAGAGACTTGAATTTAATTCCTCTTTTAGGAATTTCCCCAGAGAATTTGCATCAGGGCCCAAAGGTCTATGTAAAAAAGGTTGTATATCCCAGCATTAGGCAGGAAAAATTTAAAAAATCTAAAAAAAAAAAGAAATAAGACAATTCTTGAACAAGGACTCCTTTAACAGAGGAGAGTTCAATATAATGGAATAGCCATTCCACATGATCCTGAGCGTCTGCTAATCATGGCCGAGCGAGGAGCAGCCTGGCTGCTGCTTTAGTGGTGCTTGAATATAGTAAAACAAGCATCTATTACTTTTTTAATTAAAAAATCAATACAGGTAAAGGGAAAGCAATAAACCAATTAAAGAGGAGTAAAGTGGACAACATGTGTGATATGAAAAGGTGCCCATTATTTATAAGTCGGGGACAAAAGCAGCTGCAGGAAGCTTGGAACAATTCCCTCTGGGGTCAGCGCTCTCTGCAGCTGCTTCTGTGTGTCTAGCTGTTAATTTACACGCACACACACATACGTGTACATACGGGATGAATGTGTGTGTGGAACTGAAACAATATAGAAGAAACTGTTCACAGTGGCGTCATTTCCAGAGAGTAAGTTCATCAAAGATTTTTCACTATTTCATAATTTTACTACTGGCTGGGTACTTCCAGTAACCACTGTTACAAGGTCATTTTAAGATATGTTTATATACAGCTTTTAACATTGAGGGAGTAGTTTAACCCATGAAAGGGGTAAACAATGTCTGGTGACTTCGAGGGGAGGTCCCTGGTGCCAAGGAGTTCTGCTGACCTCATCTCAGCAGAAGAGAAAATGAACAACAGAGGCAGATTTGTGGGTCTCTCCTGCCTTGGACGGAATGTGCGTGAAGGTCCCAGTGTGGGAACAGGAACACTCCCGCACGGAAGGGGCCCGATACCAACGTAGGCTCTCATTTGGCAAAATTCCTATCGAGAGCTCGTTTCTGTCCTTTCTATGCAGTTAAAACGTTTACATATTAGTAATCACTTTCATGAGTTGGTGACGGATCTTGTTCCTCACTGTTTTTAATTTGTCATCACACACACACACACACACACATACACACACTCTTGCATACTATTGTAGACCTAGAACTGTTTCTGTATTCATTTTTGTTTTTTTGAGACAGAGTCTCAGTTTGTCACCCTAGGTAGAGTTGAGAGGGCCAGACCAGTGCCATTTTGTTGTTTACTGCCTCAGTTCTGTTCCTCATTTTAAGCCCCCGCCACCATCTTAGATAATAAGCTTCAGCTTCCCCAAAACCCAGGCTTTTCCCC